AAAGATTGCTTAATTCTACTTTAAAAAATTTCGAAGAGGAAAGCTTTAAACAAAGATAAAACGCAACAACATCCCCTCATGAGCAAAAGCTGATTAAATATAGATAGAATAACTCACTTTCTCTCCATTTGTTCCTCATCATTAGCATAAAAGTGAATAGACTATTCCTTGTACATTATTTGTTATCTCTGTCCGAAATAAAGTCAAATCGCCCTTTCGTTGTGCTTTGCATGGCAATTACAATGCTGACAAGACGAAACGAAAATGATGCAGATTGTCTCATTGTTTAAGACAAAGGAATAGTACAAAACATTGATAGCGTTCACAACGTCAGGACTTTTCTGTAGCTGTTTTAATTTTGAAATGAGAGCCAATTTCGGTGCATACTCTTTTAATTTGACCATTAGTGTTGTGGGTATAGTTCAAACTGAAACATTCTGAATTGGTGTGCGTAAGAGATTCTTCTAAAAATTTTGCGAGACTTACTAAAATAAATGAATTCTATGGTCAATAAGTACTACCAACGGTATGCGTTGAATTATTAGTTAAACTATACGATACCACCTGTAACAATACGATTAAAAGGGGAATATTTTTTTAATCTGGACCAAATTACTAAGACGTTTTGATTATTGGCATGTATTTAGTTTCGTGGATTTTGTCCAAATTCTTGACTCACCTATATGATTTCAAGAATTTTCACTATTGCTTGAGTTGATTTTAACTGCAGACCTCATAAAAAGGCATAAAATCCCATTCAACTATAAACTTTATGATCAAAATTCGATACCTTTATGTGCTGGACCGTTTTGGTTTCGAATTAATAAAATCGTATTTCATCACAAAACATGTAAATAAACTCCCTAATTCAAGGTAGATAGACTACCTCGGAATTGGTTGTGTTTACGAATGATTACCGTCTTCTCTAATAAAAAGTAGTAACGCATAGCCCTCATTTGATCAGACAGTACGTCAGTAGGTAAAGAAATACGTCTTTTATGTTTGATTTGCATGCCATTCACCTATCTATGGTTTTGGAATATCTGTATTACGAGTCATTGCTTCAGTCGGATGTGCCAAAGTGCGCCGTTTACTGGCTCTGAGGGTTCCCGTCTTCGATGGAAAAGAGGCGGTGATGGGACTTGACTTTTCCGCGGGTTCCCTCATTTCACATTCACCACCGCTGCCGCCGCTGTCCAAATCACGAATCGCCTTCTCCGCAGAGAGCTTGCCAGCATGCCGTTCTGACCGCCCTGATCTCTACATGGCGCGCCAGTGCAACGCCCTTGATTGCTTTTGCGTGAACGTCACCACCGGCGTCTTTCTGCCTGGCACGCGAGCCAGCAGTGAGGATCTTGTCGATTGCAGCACTGGTAGGATGGATCCTTTCTTGTAAACTTACCACGTAATAGTGTTTGACCCCTACTGTTTAGGTGATTACAATGGGAAACTGTTTATCGGAAATCAAACTCATCTTGCCTTCCAGTTACTAGTATCTTTGCCTTATTGACCTGCTATGAATCCTGATTACAACACGATTTCAGCACTTTTAGGTTTGTATAATGATGTACGGTGGTGTAAAATATTATTAGTTTTATTTTTCTTTGAAACGTGAGATGTTCATACAGGGATTAAATATCATATTCTCTATAATTTATAGTTTTTCATCACTTGTAGGCGCCCTTCCTGAGCTGTGGCTGAGTATAAATTTTTATGACTGGGGACGAATTCACTCAAGCGTTGAATATTCTTACTGATATTTTACGTGTTTTGTGAATTAAGTCATTTTAACAAATATAATTTACTGTTGGCAGAAACGCTTAAATTAAAATTGAAGTTAATGCAATGTTGGAGGCTTGTCTTCAGAATTAGTAACGAACCTTCTCTACCCATTCATGGCATCTTAAATTGGTAACAAAAGAATAAATCATAGCCGAAAGTAGAACAGTGATAAGCAGCATTATAAATTAGATGGCTGAATTCCGCGCAAGGGAAGACAGTAGTCAAAACTACCGTTGGTGATGAGCTGAAAAATGTGATTTAAATCCGTTAATTATACATTATGAATATCAAACTAGCATTCAACTGTGTCCTTTCTAAGATTAATCTGAAGAAGCATATTGCGAATATAAGTGGACTTTACTTGTATATTGAATAGCTCTAATTTGTATTAATTCAGCTACATTTAGGATTAAGCTACGTTCAGCAGTGCGCAAGATCTATGCCGCGAGTGGTTCAAATTATGAATTGAAATTCCTGGAGTCTCAAAGAGTAGAAATTTTTTCTTAAAAGAATATTTTTAAGCGCTGTGGCAACAGAATAATAGGGAGATTACATATGCTTACTTACCAGAAATGGTGAATCCCATATAGAGATTGGCAAAATAAAAGGGCGTGTCAAAAATACAACGTATTTTAAAATCTTACAATACTACACCCCAAGGATGTTTATTATAGAATGGTTTATAACTGGTAGTACCGGGAAAGTAGCATACTTCAGCTGATGTTTATTTAAAGAGCTGGAGCCCTCTGTAGTAGTAGATCGGTCAAATTGTTGCTGGACGATTCCCAGTTTATTCACTACGCCTCAACTTTGGGTTGAGCTTTATTTTGCGACATTGCATTTCCGGAACCTTCAGCCATGAACTGGAGATTGTAGGCTGGATGGCGAAGACTGTTATATGGTAATATAGCAATCAAAGCCTAAAAGCTTGAAGAATCCAAATCCAAAAAACCTTTACAATAGGACCTAGTTGAAAGATCAACAAGTAAATATGCCAGTTTTGCTATGTACAAACTGAATTCTTAAAGTATTTTGGTTTTGCTCATATTTCCACGATGGCCGGAGACCAGTTATCTTTTTGAATAACAGTTTCAGCAGCTGTGATGTTTACTACCAGAATGGAAGGAAATATTCACAGCATGCTTAGTTGACTTCACAATTTATTGTTAACTCTCTTCTACTACGTCTTGTTTTCGTAACATTCTTTTTCACAAGAATTTTAGCCAAATTTAGTAAAATATTTAAAGTTGTCCATGCCTGAGACAGGGGAAAATAACTTTAATTTGACTAAAATTTTGAATATTTTATCTCAAGTACATATTGCAATTGACAGTGCTTCAAGTGGCAGTTCTTAAAACTTAGGAAGCTACTCATTCGTGCAATTTAAAGACGCTTACGTCCCCTTAAAATGTATAAATTTGCCCTTATTGTGTTTTACCACGCAAAAATTGTTTCCGTATTTTTATTATTATTATTTTTATTTTTCTGGCAAGTTTTAGTTAAATTTAAAGAACTGAGGTTTAGAACAGAGCGACAAATTTTAGGATGTTTGAGCTATTACTTAATTTAATGCAGATAAGTGGAAATTCTGCCTTAAGGTGGAGCCCTTATCGGTGTCGCTGGGATGGCTTCAGAGAATATTTACTAGTCATTTTTGCGAACACTTACTTTATGTGTACATGGTGTACATAAAATAACAAGATACTTAAGCCTTAGGGTGCCATGCGATTCCTGTACTAGTCAACAACTTTGCTTTCATCGGCTGTCTCCTTCAGTATATTATCCATTGGATGAATGGTTTTTATCCTTGTCCCTTAACAGTTAATATCGCTGAGATTATTTAACGCGCTTTGACGCAAATCCCATCAACTATGTACTTAGCATTAAAACTTAATTCGTAATTTATCCATCCCCATTGAGTCATAATCAAATTTGAGCATCTGTTTGCCAAACCATTTTAAAGTACAAGCAACACTGCACTGAGAGGGGTAGAATCAGTTTTACTCACCGAACCTTGTTGATACTTCGGTCAAAAACATATACGAGGAAAACCCGAAGAAAAATTTTAGTAATGCATATGTTATCTCATGCAAATTTTATGCAGGTCAATCTATGCTTGTTGTTTGTTGTCATTACAGATAGCACGAACAAATAATCCTTTGCTAATTTTTCTCCTTCCTTACTCGTTCCGGGATGTAACGCATTCTTTTGATTGTTAATCAAGCCACCACTGCGAATTTTCATTCTTTACTATGAATAAACTATGTAACACTAAAAATATTGCCAAAAAGAGTATCCACGAATTATTTCCCAAACGGCAGTCTTGACATTTGGTAAAGGTGATGAATTTAATGGCGAAATACAGATAATGACCTCTTCGCTCCCTCGTCAGTGACTTCGCTTTACTTTACTCCATCCAAAATCAAAGCAACTTTTTTTGCGCTCTCAACTGAGGTTTTTGATCTTTAGCTGGATTTTTTATTTTCAGAATTTAAAGAAAGTCTGCCTTTTAGTAACCTAAAAAGCGACTTAAATATTTTTAGGCCTTCTTAGTATCTGGGTGAGCTGCTGAAGGACTGTTTGAAATGTGACTATGCTATGTGTCAGGGGAACTCTCCAAATCAATGTATTAAGTTATGATATTTGAATTTCAAACATTTACCTAGGCTTTCTATAAAGGAATTGTTGACTTCTATTATTTGTTTGGTCGTTTTACTGTAATTTTTGTATTCGATGACCAACTTTTCCCATGGATTTCTACCTGTCTGAATACTTTTATCCCTTTAAGGCCACACAAGAAAATTTATAGTGATCACCATTTCCTCCAAATATTATCTACCTTTAGCTTCTTAGCTTGTAACTATAATAAAAACAACCGTATTTACATCTATTGAGACTTTATTTGGAGATAAAGTTTAAACATATGTGCCTATTGCTCTTTCACCGAGGTTCTATGTAACAAATCGATAGTTGTTGTGATCGAGCTGTCTTCGAAAATACCTTCATTTCATTCACCTCTTGGTCAAACGCAAGTGTGTCAAAGGGATTTAGATTCTTTTCTGATGCCAGTTAAAGACATCAGGTTTTTTACTCCGAAAATGAACTACTTCGCGTTCTTTTTTGTCAAAAATCTACTTTTTAAACTGATCTTTTGGACCGAAAAGAGGTCTAAATCGACTGAGTAAACCACAATCACTTATGCATCTGTAGATAATTTAATGGAAGAAATTCTTTTTTTAATATCATTGGTTTGCTTCCATTAATGCGCAACGTTTCATCTTTTGCACTTCAAGGCAATGTTTATGGATTAATGATGAAGTAGAAAGCATGCTTATGGTTTAAGGGTATTTTTTTCTGCTATTATTTCTCCTTATGAAAGCTTTCTTCATCCGAGTGTGTTTTCACAAACTTTTTTCCATGATGAACAAAATGAGCTTTTTGAATGATAATATTAAAAACGCATCGTGACTATTTACATTTTGGCAAAATAAGTAATTGACAACCTCATAAACATTTCCAAATTAAGGTTATTCAACAATTTATGCTACAAAATAGTGATATCTTTATCGAATGGTACCACGATGTTCTTTGAACTTTCTTTACATATGTTGGAATTAGCAGGTGTGAAGTAAAATTAATGGCGACAGTGTCGAAAAAAAGTGCGATGCTATGGTATGAGCTTTTATTTCCATATGCCTTAATTACCGGAGATATTTTTTGCATAACTTTTAAATTTTCAAGTTAAAGTGTAGCTTGGTGGACGTAGTAATGTGATAGGTCAAATTCATGTCACTCCCATTTAAGGTATCTATAGATGATGAACGGGTTTCGTCCACTACGTCTGTCCTTTGGTTTTTTTAGGCGACGACGCTGAAGGTCATTAAGGAGGCAAATTATAAAAAGACTGGTCTAATTGTAAATAAATTTATTATTGACAGTTTCTGTATTGACGAATTATTTTCTGGAGAAAATAACTACAAATGCTTTGCGGGATGTCTAGTGGTAAGTTAGAAATACGTTTCCTCGAAAATGCTATTATCTGTCCCAGTTTAGCAAAAGGTGGGTAAATTCACTGCTAAGTACTTCGCGTTAGCAAAAGGATATGTGACTAATCACGCACATATTTGAAAGTTTTACTTGCTTCTACGCTTTTAAGACATAGTTTCAAAGGTATTGTTGATATTAGTTGTATTGCTTTTATCTCTATAGCCATTTTGAAGATCCACCTCGTGGTACTCCAGAGTGTAATGACTCACTACTCTAGCCAATTCTACGAAGACACATCCTCACCTGCTTCCACTGCTGTCGTGAGCACTAGTTCCTATTGGAGAACACGTATCATTCGTGCACTGAAGGAGCTCTGCCACGCATCTACGGGCTTCCAGCGCGTCGCCTCCATTCGACGTCTGTCCACTCTCGCAAGCTCCGGCTATAACGGACGTGCACTGACCTTCGAGGTGATACTCTACTCCACCGGCCACGGCAGGACTTTAGCCAGTCTGGAGGAGCTCATTAAGCATCGTCTTGATGAGGCTTATTTGCCAGGACTGGGATCGCTCGATCCTGAAGCCAGCTATGTTCAGCGCTTGGGGGAGAGTATGCCTGGTAGGTGGTCAGCTAGCTTAGATTCTTTTAGCAAATGTTGCTTCTTCTATTCTGCTAGTGAGCTAAGTACAATTTTAGTCATAGTTAGGAACTAGGAATGATTTGTTTAATGCTCTAAGGTCTCACAGTAGTAATGAATGATTTACCGGTTTTTCGATGCGTACATTTAAAATTTGAATTGTGCCATGAATTTGTGCATTAATGAAAATCAAAAATTGTATTTTATTTCTGCTTTATTAAAATTAATCCTGAATTATATATTGATAATCTTGTGTGATGGAATGTCGTTATCGCAACTTCGGATATGTTTAGCTGCTTAAAAGTTGTGCTAAACGATTTCTTTTAAATTTCGACGGCTATTACTTCTAATAAATATTCGTGAAGTATAGTGTCTGTGGTTTATTCAAGCATGAACTCAAATATGTCAACTGGCTAAAAAATAAGGCCGTGTACTTCTTACTTTCTGATGTGTCAAAAAGTTGGAGCTTTAAGAAAATTCTAACTACTGCTTAATTATTCAACAGTTTAGGTCTAACGATTTTCGTAATTTTTATTATTTTGCTTTCTTTTTGTTGTCATCATTCGTCACTGATATTGTTATATGCCCTTATTCCGTAAAGTTTCTTCACAATTTTTTTGCATCATTGTAGTGCAACACGAATTCACTCATGCAGATCTGTTTGTTTTCTACCTTTAGTAAGCATAAATTGGGTATTCCCATTTCTTTACAGTCCAAAATTTAGATTTTATTAATTGCTTCTGGTGATACCAGCGTTTTCTTTTTTAAAAGTATCGTGGACCCTACAAACGTAATTACGACTAAGGCAACAGTTGTAATTTCACAAAGTCATGACTCACTTCATTTCTGATTTTGAGGCATAAAGTTGGAAGTCTAAATGTCATACAGTGCGAGAACCAAACTCATTTTAAAAAGCAGTTAGATTTTGTGTCGGTTCACCTGATGACCGTTACAAATGCTCAATCTGTCCATAAACGAGAAAGAAACTGCTATTAAATAAGCTGACTTTCGGTATGATGACGAAATGTTTGTCCTATGCTTTTTGTCTAAGCAAAACATTTAATAAAACACAACGATAGAAAGGAATAAAAATTAGCTTTAGGGATTGCTTTTTTGCTAATCATCATCTATAACGAAAACAGTTATATTCCATGGCTGCTCTTTTTACCGAATACATAACTCATTCTAATGTTACTTTCCAGATCGCTCCTACCCTGTTACACAGTTCTGAAGTTACCACCATTAAAACTATTTAGAGTTTTTGATATCTATTAGACTATTCTAAATTTTAAAAAAAATCCCAGGTGTCAAAATTAAGTCAACGAATCACTAATGTGCCATTTCAATCGAAGCATGGCAGAAAATAAGCACGTACCCTGATGCCCGTATTTAAAACAGTGATCAGCTCGCAAACATTTAATGAAAAAATAAGGCACTGCTTTAACGCCTTTTTGTTTTTGCTCAGCCTTTGAAAGGATATTTGAAATATTTATGTACGCACATGACATTCTGGCTGTCGAAGATGAAAACGTTCCACGCAAAATAAGGGATTAATAAGTCGATTTCATTCAATTCTCTATATAATAATTTTGTAGTCTGGTCTAAAGAAAAATGTTGTTACAATAAAGTAATTGTTAGTTTTTTTCGGATATCTTAAAATTACTTAAAGGATTTCAATTTATGTCCACATTGAAGTGCAAAACCATTTTTTTCGTATAGTAGGAATGATAAAGCAGAGCGATTATTATTTATTTAAAAATACAAAGCTTGTACGTGCTGTTTATCGCATAATACTTTATCTTTGGAAAACTTTGAACAACCATATAAAAGTGAATTCGGTTGTGCCCAATTTTTATGCATCGTGATACAGACATTTAACTACAAGTAATAGATCTCACTTACAAAAAAATTGCCTACGATTTTAGTCGACATTTTGTAGATACTATAATCTTGACAATGTTTGAAGTCTGATATTTGTTTTTTCACCTGAGAGAAAACAGCCTTGCCAGAAAGTAGAAAGCCAACTTATTTTAACTATGAGAAATTGGACATCATGCTGGTAATTAAACTAACAAAACAGTCTTTAGATGTAATTAGAAGGCAAGTTTTTAATCCTGAACAGGGATTGGATTAAGTGAATTAGCTGTTTGTAAGAGAAAACGCATGTAATAGTTCTAACCAATCCAACATATTTGTTAAATAGTTTTGATTCCCCTATAATAAAATAATTTATATATACTCCCATCTTGATGTATAGAAAAAAGGCAACTTTGGAGTTGCCTATAGATGAGGCTAAAATTTATTGATAGTGTTACTTGAGTAAACCCAAAATGTCCATTAATTTTGGCAACAACTTTGACGCAGTTGTTTCACCGAAACACTGAGAAACCACCGATATTATTGCAAGTTTACATCATAATCCAAGCTTTTGTTTACTTACTCTTAAACTTTACTGTGTTGCAGGTAAGAACTTGGATTTTAAAATCTGTATTCTTACAGATTGTCCTCGGGATGCAAGTGTTCTGGCATAATTTGTGATTGTTTCATTTAATTTCCAAATTGTTTTGTGGTAATTTTAAGTACTTAAAGTTTAGTTATTTCCATCAAAATTTTAGATGATTATATTAAAACCAGTTTTTTTCGAATGCGGAGTACCTTGCCAGATCTGAGTCCCATTGAATTTGAATGAGTGTTTATTTGGACTATGAGTAAGAAACGAGTGGTTATCCTCCAGTCGACTTATCCTAATTTTATTGGTTGATATGAAATTTTATTAAGCTAACTTTTATATATTAATGGTTAAATAAAAATTACCTTATGTCATTGAATTCTTTTTCAGATCCCAAACCAGATTTCAGACAACATCCGGACGTCTACTCCAAGGAAAAGGAGGTACATGTGGTACCTTCTACTCTAGAATAATAAAACAGCTATTCAAGTTCGTGTACTTACATCCCATCTGCCTACATTGGAGTTATGCATCCATTAGACCTATATTTTCAAAGTCAATATTCTTTTTTAATAAACCGAATCAAATCCTTTGAATTGATATGTTTTTATGTAATTTTAGATCAAAGCGGACTACAAAAGTAATGAAGGTGTAGATCTGACAAGTATGTACCCCAATTCCTGTATTTTACAAAAACTTAGGTAAAATTAAATCATATAAGTAGCCACAACTTTGTCCTTTCTGTAATTAAGTTTAATTAAATCTTCCTCCATTTTAATTTGCTGTGTTAGAAAGTTACAGACAAACAAATAATTGTCGGGATGTGGATTTGATCATCTGACATGGTTAGAAGATAACATTGGGGTGTCTTTCGGATTTAGACATGGGCAGAGATTCGCCGCAACAGGATTATCCTGGAAGCAGTCGTAGGTACCCCATTACGGTTCGGCAAACTGCTCATGAACTCGCAGTTCAAAATAGTTGGAGACATCGAGAAATTCTCAACCAGCCCGGTGTTATTGCCGGTAGGCCAAAGTTGAATGGGCTTTTTTAATAGGGAATTTTTGTTTGATATTTGAATAGATTCCTTATTGCTTGAATAAAATAATATTTAAAAGTTTTGGAAATCAACAAAACACTGTTTAGTTTTAATTCACGAGGTTAATGCAATCACGATTTTAAATCAGTGTAAAAGCAGGAAAAATGGCTAATCTAACAAAGTAAGTTAAATGTGCACTTGCTAATGCGATTTTCAAAAAGAAACTAGAAATTAGAAACTGCGGCGATCGGTTGCCAGAGAAGCTTTTTAAGACGTAATTGATGTAAAATAAAGGCAAATAAACTTTCTTAGCTTTGTTTTATGTCATTGTACTAACAATGCTGCACTGTACAATTTCTAAGATATAACCTTAATGGTTTTTCAAATTTGCACGAATGAGTCATTTTTTGTTCTTAGCTCTAGTTTTCATGACGATTTACTGTTATGTTCTTAACAACTTGATGAAAAAGAGATGAACCTGGAGTTTTGTTGTTTCAATGTAATTCAAATGACAATTTTTCATATTTTTTAGAGTGTTACCCTATTGTAAATTGGTTAGAAATTAAAGTCTTAGCTTATAGGTCAAAATAATTGTGTTCACTTTAGCATTTATATTATGTGATATGGCTAAGAAGAAAAGTCGCCGTAGGAATGGTTATTTAAAATATATGTTTTTGAGATGGTGAGAAGCAAACTTTGGTTATTCCAAGGAGATAAGTTTTTTTAATCCTCGTTTTATCTGCAAATTTAAAAGAATTATATGTAGATTGGTAATTTTCTTGAAAGCAGTTGTTTTTTACTAAAATTCAAATTTACTGGAGCGTGTTCAGCATTCATCATGAAAACCAATTTGATAACCCCATTCATTAATAATATCCATGCATAGAACTGTAAAATCAAATGCGTTGTTTAAAGTGGACTAGTTCATCGTCAGAATAAATCAATTGCAAATATATATTGAATTCTTTTAAAAGTACACCTTCATGAAGTTGCTTTGAAATAATAAACGCCGTTTTTACTTTTCTACTTTTTATTTCAGGTGACATAATTTTATGCGCATATTAATCTCTATTTACTCAAAAAGCATTCTTTTGCCTGGTAGGAAGACTAAAAAATTCTTATTGTATGCAATTAAAGGCGTTCATAAGGAAATCAGAGTACCATAAATTTATCTGATCATCACTGTTGCCCGTTGCTTTCGGGCAGCTTGTATTAGTTTACAATGTTACCAATTCACCCGTTAGCCATCGTTGGAAGTACTATCGCTGGATTGTTGTTGCTGATTCTGCTCATCCTCTTCTGCATATACCGTCTGCGCAAGAAAGACGAGGGTTCGTACTCCCTTGAGGAGCCGCAGAAGGGTCCTGCCACCTCTGATGCTTATATGCGTGCTTCCAGTCGCGAATTCTACGCCTAGTTCTACCACCACTACTCGTTTCTCTCTTGTATATAGACTTCTGTCCTTCCCTTTCATCATCAAATGCTTGTATTTTCTCTCTCTCTTCTTCCGCCACACCACTAACTATACTTTCTGCATGTGGCTTCTTCAAGTAGCAGCTTAGGTTTTAATTAATCTTGCACATTATTTTTATTCCCTTACTCTTTGTCTTGTAAAATTTGTTTATCCGGCTTTTGCTATCAATGTGTGCACCTGTGAGCGTGGGTGCGAATGTGTGATTGCCTTCAGCCCACGTGAATGCAAGTAATCGCATGAGATGGAATATAATCATTTGTAGATAAGTATTCCTATTCGATAGGCGATGATATAAAGCGAGAAGTTTATGGGCTTTTGTGTATTTTTTGCATCTTTTTGATTTGCCGATGGATCCTTATAGTAACCGGATTAGTGTAATAGTTTTGCATGAATGCCTAAAATGTATTCGATGGCTATTTCGCAGCATACAGCGCCACTTAGATCTCCAAGTTTTTACACATTGATGCAAAAAAGTGTTTTCAAAAAGGATTTGATTCGGTAACTTATTATCTTTGTAAAGTACATTTAAGGTATGCATTATTTAGAAGGCCTACTTAAGCGGTGCATACATAGAAATATGATTGTAATAAGTTGATAGTGCTAGATTTCAATTTAGCTTTAAAGATCTTGATATAGGCGAGTGTAATTTTGTGCCTTTAAACGTAACATCTTCCACCTTGAATTTCACTTTTCCAGACATGTAGCAGTTCATAGTGAATTAGGTCAAATTAGAAACAACTCGGAATTGTGTAAGGTGTTGATCCTAAATTAAAATTGAAGGGCGGTGTCTGTGACGTGATGTGCTACTATTTTTTGGACAAGTTGAATTTGCAAACTTCCTTTAGGTAAATTTCGTCAATTAATCAAAAAGGTCTTTCTACTAAACAAATTGTTTTCTAGTATGTCAGACGTTATTTTTATATTTTCATGAACGCATAAAAGCCCAATAAATAATCGCGAAAATAGTTGCACAATATTTATGAGTTCATAAAAGAATCCTCAAGATAACCATCCTTAAGAGTTTTAAACCTAGACAAAACTTTAAGGAAATTGTAAAAGAATTAACTGCTTCGTTTGATTGTTCTATTTACAGTGTCAATTTTATTGCTGACAATTAGAAATATTCGCAATTTTCCCCAAATTGATCTTCTTCAGTTTGTTTTAAGACATTACTACTTTGTCGTTTTCACATGTTTAAAAGTATTTCACAAGCGAATCGCCAAAGTGGAAATGTGTAAGTCTTTGACATCGGTGATACTTTGTAAATACGGATCAAGTGAAAATCACAGACAAGAAGACTCAGAGGCTAGGACGAAAGATAAAGCATGGTAATTATTGTGCCGAAAGTCCTGAAACAATACGGACTTGCTCCACTGCTAATGGATTAAATGTTCACTTTGCCGAAATAGTTTTTAGCTTTCGAATCGCTTTATGCTATTTTGACACGATATAACAATTTGTTTTTCATTTATTCAAGTTTAGCACAAATTGTTCCAAGACGACAAACTACCGAAGATAATTACAATGATGAAATTTAAAATAATATTGTTAAATAACATGTCAATGTATAGATTTTGGTAGAAGCTGTATTTGTTGTTTAACAATTCAACCTCTGAAAAAGTTTGAAAATTATCAGGAGCTGACAGATTATGCGGAACATTTAAATCCATGGGAAATTGCTGATTAGTTTACAACTAATACCATCATTTATGGTACCGCATTTTGGACAAAATAACAAGAAGCATTTCTTATTTTGCGTAAATATATTGTGTGCTACTTATTTCTGCTTAGGATTCTTTTTAAAATCTGTGGTCAGACACCGCTAGCACATTTACAAGTGAGTCTTTGTGGCTCAGAGAGATAACTATGAATAGCATCCACGAGGAGTTAAATTGGTATAACCATGCAAAAAAAACGTACAAATTGACGTACATACAGCGCTAATATAAGGACCCACCATAAGAAGGAATAATTTGCCCAGTTAGAATCACGGTCGTTATTGGTATGGCAACTGTGCAAAAGCATACACCAAAGTGAATTCAGAGCGATACTGCTTCTCGAGCCGCCATTCCAAATATTTCTTTCCAAAAGATGAGCCATCACAATTCGACAAATTCGCGAGAAATAGACTAAGGCATTTCTTGCACTATACTTTTTAATTCAATTAACGTAATTCATTTTAAGAGGTTGTTACATAGCTAATTAGCTTATATCACTTCCATTTCGATAAAGGCTCTTGAGAATACTGCATAGTTTTATAAATATGGGAAAGCAAATACAGAACTATAAAAAACTGCGGTCTTAGGACTTCGCTGTGCCATTCGTATATTTACTGCCTTGACAAAGTAGAATGGATTGTTTTCATTTTTTCTACCTTTCGGTGGTAATTCACACCTAGTATGCAAGAGTGTTGACACGATCATCGTCGACCTAATATATTCCACAAATTGTTAAATTAGACAACATGGTTTGCTTGGTATTGAATAAGTAAATATTTTGTGAGCATCCGTAAACCGATTTGAATTATCATGTTTTTGTAGCAAAATATAGAAAGGTTTTTTTGGTTAAAAAAGTGTTGCGATTTATATAAAGTTCCTTTACTTTAATAATTCTGCTCTAAATCCTTTTTTTGAATTGATCCTTTTTACCTATCTTATTTTATTAGGCTTTTAGAAATTTAAAAATTGTCGCATCAGCTACACCATATTTTATAGACCATGCAAACCACTTTCATTCTGTTAAAGTAGTTAAATTAGAAAATCCTAAGGTACACGATGTGGAAAACTGACCGTCTTAGTGTGATCAAGATAGCTAAGCTACCATAACTAAGGACGGATGCATTAGTTCCTTATCCGAGGGAAGATTGTTTGCTGATTCCCTAGGTGGCATTATGCGCTTGTTGTAGAAAATGCGTCCATTTTAATGTATTTTACCTGCACTGGCAAAATAGTTAACCAATTAAATGTGCTCATGTCATACAAGGTAAGAACAATTTAAACACGAATACCTTCAGTCGTCCCACCAAAAGAAACTAAGTGGAATATTTAGGGACTTTGCGTAGTGTCACAAGTCTTCCTTGAATATAAATAACCATAGTACGAGAGATTGCCGGTGTACAGAAGGGATGGATGCCAAGTTCCACAGTGGAAATACAAAATAGCTTTAATTATCTGCAAAATTAAAACAGAGAGTTTAGTAAATAAGCCAAATTATGCAGCCCTTCTTTCCCCCTTTGAGCTTCGTCCTCGATGCTACCCTTGGTCAAGCGCTGTGATTGCCATCAGCTCTCAATTGGCGCAGTAAGGAAAAACAAGCACAAGCCATTTACTCTAGTCATCAAATTTGCGTGCATCACTGATGCTTTTTAGCAATTCCACCAGATTTGAAATTTTTTCTTTTAGGAAGGCTGTATTAAAGAAAGGGATAATGTACACTTGTTAGTCGTAACAACACTGGCCCAAGAGCAGGGTTGCTTTAAAAAATAGCTCTATATGAATAGATCTCTGGTCTGTTCCTACTTGTCACTTTGTTCTTGCCTAACCAAATTTGTCCACCTAGCTAGAGAGGTAGAGATTCACTGCTTGTTCACCTAAGTGACATCGCCATGCAAGTATTGTGGACAACTCCGTAACGAACTTTGCAAGATGGGTAATAATTGATGCCGCATCAGTTGTTAATTGGCTTACTTTATGGACACGGAACTGGGGTAGTTGCCTGAGGTAAACTTCATTTTTAACCATTTTGTTAAAGGTCGTTACGGCCTATCTAATCTACAATGTATTAATGTCACACTGAAACTTAACAGTAATTGAAGTGAGGGTAGCTATCCTTTATGATGGAGTTCAATTGCCTGACATCGCTGTAGCGGCCTGAGTCTTTCCTGAAGACCAAAGAAATCATAGCCTTAGGGAAAAATTTGCATTGCTGAAGGGTTAGAGGACTATTGACATAGCTTAAGGCACTGCCCTCCAACAGAAGTGCCTAGGCAAGACCCAAGCAAGCATTTTAACACATAATCAAGCTTGCAGATTTTGTTCTGAGCAAGTTGTGGTTTCAAGTGAGTAAATTTTTCAAGATTTACAAATATAATTATTAAATCTATTATATTCCAAGCAAGTCTGTAAATTCGAAATCACAAAAATGGAATCCCTATGGTTGGGCCCAACTAAACATTTAGTACCTTTATGGTTATTACAAATATTTGCGAATCAA